GAGATACTGCTGGCATTCAAACTCTGAAACTGAAAAGAGAGTATGTGCAAATATAAGCTAAGTTGTCAAGCACTGATAGATCATAAAAAAACCCAAAACACACACCTTGTTATTAGCCCATCCAGCTTCATGTATCTTTGTTATATGAAGCACCCTAAAAGTTTGAAACTAACAAAAAATAAAACTATAATCTGTTCCCATTTACAAAAACTTTCCAGCTTCTCCACCCAGAAATACTTTTACCACAGGTGAGTGGCTATTACTGGCCTGGTGATAAACTTCGCTGCCTGATACAACCATGAAATTATGTATTTACAAAACCAGACCCCTACAATAGTATCTCAAGGTCAGAACTCTGAGCTTAGGAAAGCCAGAGCAAATGTGGGTGTTATACAGTTCTAAGAATGCTGAACACACAGCAGCAAAACTAACCTCTAACAGATTGGTATACACAATACCTTAATAAACACAGTCTTGGGCATACAGCTATTCTTTTTTGTCTAGTATCCAAATGAAGTATTTAATGTATCACTGAAACTAAGAAGCTATCTTTAAGGTCCTTTGCTCTCCTCTGGTCAGACTTCATCAGGGATGTCAGCTTTCAGTGTACTGTTTGCAGTAGCACTGGACTCAGTTTATTTTGGTGAGTGGAGCTCACGTACATTAAAACATGCATGAAGATGGCTTCCCAAATAACTCTCTCTTATTGAAAGGAACTAAGACATATTTTACAGAAGTGTTAACTGGTCTGTAGACATTCACTACAGTACTCTGCATAGACAGTTTCTGTTTCATGCACAGCACTTAACTGTTTTTGCTCCCAGGACATGGGAAACAATATATTCAGAAGATGCCTGAGCTTCAGGGATCTCATTTGCTTCGAACACATCTTTCCAATAGCTGATCAAATCAGTAGCTGTAACCAGTTCTGTCTTAGAACAGGAATATTGTCTTAGCAGACGAGGACAAGGATTTAAGAGTGAACCAAGAAGTCCATGATGAGGAAGCAAACACAAAAGCTTTTCGTACAAAGCACTGACAGGAACTTTCATAGTCGCCGAAGTTGGTTTCCAAGGCTATCCTTTTCTGGGTCACCACCATGTAATGCAAGCCTCTATTAGCAGACTGGCCTAACAGCCCATATTATCCACTGCAGAACACTCTGCAATCTCGACATTATGTACATTGCAGAATGTCAAGAAGAGATGTTTCATGTCCTTTTGCTCTTGCCCAGCATCCAGATAATTAATTCATCCTGCAGTACCTACAGAAAAAAGAGACAACCAAAATAAAGAATTGGTTCACTTTCACACAGACTAAACATTAAATATATATGTGATTTTTAAGTTCACCATTCCTTCAACAGAAAGAGTCCAGTGGTGAGCAGAAGTGAGCAGTGACTCACGAAAGCACATACCCTACCACAAATTTTGTTAGACTTTAAGGTGCTACTGGATTCTTAGACCGATTTCACACAAGAGCTGCGCCACAGTTGCACCTCCCTTTGCCCCGCTTCTATTGGTCAATTTCCCACTCGAAGCCGCGCAGCCGCATTTTGACCCGCGGCTTTGCCCGATTTTCCCCGCGGTTTCGTGATCCTGTTTAAACCCCTTTAAGTTAAACGCTAACTATTATGAGTGGTTCTTGTGAAGCAGAAAGGCAGCATATAAATTAACTTGACTGTTTGGAGAAACAAATAATTTACCAAGAATAAGCATTACTGATTTGGATTCCAGCGTTCTGCATGGGTACAAATTCTATTTGGTCAGTTTTAATCTTACTTGAGTATAAAGCACTGTTGCTGCTTTAGCCTAAAGTGTTCTTTTAAGCTGTCATATATTTACAGCACAATCCTATGCAGGGTTACTCAGATGTAAGTCCTACTGTATTTAATTGCACTTATTTCCACATAAGTGTGCACAGTCACCTCAGTCAGATGTAATTGGCCTTGTTCCTTTGCTAGCACAAGCAAATAAGTGTAAGAGATTTGCACAGGACTGTAGTAAAAAGAAACAGATTATTAGAATATTAAAGCAAAAAGTCTAAAAAGCTGGATTTTCCCTGATGCTAGTGAGAGTTTTTAATGTTCTTTCAGGATCTAAGCAGATCAGACTATTATCCGCAGCCCACTTAAATCCCAGACAAAGTGAGAAGACACCAGATAGTTCTTAAAAGATGACAGCTGTAAGATAAGAATCATGAGAAGGATGCTGTTGCGAAATAACATATATATCCTCCCCCCCAACCCGTCCCATCAAATACTTTTAGAGGCACTACAAAACCTACAAACAACGGTACAGCAAGTACTCACGTCACAGGAAGTGCCTTAAAAAACTATAATCCGTCACTAGCAAAGTGCGTTAAAAACAGACAGATCCATATCAGACACAACAACGACATCTCACTCACTCACTCACACATTCTTCCACCTATGCTCTCCCTGAAAGCAGCCCTTTGCTAAAAAAAAAAAAATTGCGGTTGGAGCTAATAGGAAATGCTGGTCAGCCTTCTATTGACCAAACAAATAGCTTGCAACGCAGTACTGTTTGTTAGAAGCGGAGAATGAGAAAATAGACGGAATCACGACAAAAAAACAAAAGAAAGAGAGAGAGATGAAACACTGAATTGAAACATGGTTACGAAATATTTCCTATTTCACGGGTAAGAAACTTGAGAGACCTAGCATATTCAACGAAAAGGCCGTTGCAACTACTGAAGAGTTTTTACCTGCACGTTTTTACAAAGGCTCCAGTCTACCGACTGTGTTTCTTTCCCGCACAATAAACTACGTGAGCATCGTACAAATAAAGACTATAATAATCAGTACACTTCCGGTTCGAGCTACAGCCAATTCAGCGGTATGGGAAACTTCCGACGACAGGATAAAGTTCCCAGAAAACCGAAGCCCCACCTCCTGAAGGCTGCTTAATCCATTGACAGCTCAGCATTTTTTAAAAAAACAAAAAAACCGAAAGACGAGGCAAGGGAGACCCCGCATGGAAACCCGAGCAGATTACAGCTGCTCCTCTGAAGAAACAGCCCGGTAAGCGAAGTCAGTAAAAAAGATAAATTGGCATCAGGCAGCCTGATCTTATATAAGTGCATTTTCAAGTAAATCGTGCTTTCTTCAAATGACTTACTTTATAGGATCGTGTCCTTAGCACTGAAAAGGAAGAATAATTACCCACATTGGATTAACCACATCCCAGACAATAAGGCATCAGTTAAAGTGGAGCTGCAGTGGCTCAAGTGGTTAAGATGCTGAACTGCAGGCTGTGGAAGGTCAGTAGTTCAGCAGTTCGAGACCCAAGTTGCCACATGATGGAATGAGCTCCTGTCTCTAGTTCCAGCTCCTTCCAACCTAGCAGTTCGAAAGCAAGAAACTGCAAGTAGATAAATAGGTACCACTTCGGTGGGAAGGTAACAGCGTCCGTGCGCCTTGGTGGTTAGTCATGCCGGCCCATGACCACGGAAACGTCTTCGGAACCCTAGAGTTGGATTCGACTGGCTTTCGAGCAAGGGAACCTTTACCTTTTACTTTAAAGTGGTTACCCCTTGGTAAAGTGGTTACCCCTTCTTAAAGATTGGGGAGGGAGGGACTTCAATGGGGTATAATGCCATAGATTCCGCTCTCCAAAGCAGCCATTTCCTCCAGGGGAACTGATCTTGGTTGTCTGGACTGGAGATCAATTGTAAATTAGAAGGAGATCTCCAGGCCTTACCTGGAAGTTGGCAACCTGAGTTGTACTTAAGTTGTGGTTGGGAAATACCTGGAGATGTTGGGGGGGGGGAACTTCAGCATGATATAATACCATCCCCCAAGATACGGTTGCCAGGTCCTACCTTTCTGCCAGCAGGGGATCAATGGGCCTTTCCTGGAGCTTCTGTGTGCGCGATGCAATGATGTCACCCAGAAGTGACATTATCACACCACTGATGTCACGCAGTGATGCTCTAGTTTTTGGGAAAACTCTGTGGCTTGAGCCGAATTTTACCATAGCGTTTTGCCCCAAAACTAGAGTGTCACCACACAACGTTGGTGGTGCAGTGACGTCACGTCTGGTGATGACATTACACTGCATTTCAGGGCGTTTGTGGGCGGGGCTCCCCCTGCCAGCTAGCTGGCCTGCATTGTAGAGGAGCACCGGGGCTGGCAGTCCTACTTCAAGAGAGCCGTGTTCTCCAGGGGAACTGACCTCTGTAGTTTGGAGAATACTTGTAATTCCAGAAGATCCCCAGGCCTCACCTGGAGACTGGCAATCCTAGCCACTGTTCATTATTGCCTTTTGATGCTTTCCTTCTTTCAGGCCCTGCCCTATCTGCTCAAACCCCGTTATTTAACTTAGTTTGCATTGTATTTAAAATGGCTTCACAAAGGCTTTTGGTTGAGGACAGCAATGGCTACAACTGACAGCCTCCTTTTTTACTTTTGGCCCCGCATTCCCTTCCCCACCCTGCTGCGCAGAGGGTATGGCAGCCGGCAAAAAAGGGATTGATCGCCATCTGGATTGGTTGTTTTATTAGTGCATTGTAATGTAATAATTTTATAATATTTGTATTTTATCTGTTTTAATGCTGTAAATCACCCAGAACCCACTTGCAGGGCTGGGTGATTCAGAAATCTAATAAATAATAGTAATAATAATAACATTTGACAGGGGTCGTTTCATAGAAAAAGAGCTAGGGGAACTCATTAGCATAACTCATTAGCATATGCCACACACCCTGACATCACCGGAAGTGTGTCATAAGGCCACACACCCCGCCCCCATGGAGTGTAAGGAAGCCCCGCGAATGCCCTCCCTGGCCCCAGGCAGGCAGGGGTGGGGAGAGGCAGGGAGGAAGCAACTTACCCTCCCACTTCTCCTGCCTCCTCCTGGCTGAATGAGGGCCGTAAGCGGGGCGGCCGTAAGCAGGGGGTGTGGCTTCGTCATGTGCCCCGCCCCCGTACTTCACCCGGGGAACTGTGATCCCCCCCGAAATGACCTCTGACATTTGAAAGTATGTGAACTAAGTAGAATAAAGGTCAGCTGCACTTGAGAAATTCCTGGAATTTTGAAGGTGGAGCCTGGAAAGGGTGGGTTTGGGGAAGAGGAGGGACTTCATGAGTTGTTGTCTTTGTTGTTCAGTTGCACAGTCGAGTCTGACTCTTCACGACCCCATGGACCACATCACTCCGGGTCCTCCTGTCTTCCATCGTTCTCCAGAGTTTGCTTAAATTTCATGTTCGTTGCATCGATAGCACTGTCTAACCATCTCACACTTTGCTGTCCCTTTCTTCTTTGACCTTCAGTCTTTCCCAGCATCAGAGTCTTCTCCAGTGAGTGCTCCCTTCTCATTTGGTTGCCAAAGTATTCGAGCTTCAGTTTCATTCTCTGGCCTTTCAGGGAACAGTCAGGGTTGATTTCTTTTAGGATTGACTGATCTGATCTCCTTGCAGCCCAAGGAACTCTCAAGAGTCTTTTCCAGCACCATAATTCAAAAGAATCTATTCTTCAGTACTCGGTCTTTCTTATGGTCCAGCTCTCGCAGCCATACATTACTACTGGGAATACCATTGCTTTGACCATACAGACTTTTGTTGGCAGGGTGATGTCTCTACTTTTTATTATGCTGTCTAGGTTTGCCATCGCTTTCCTCCCAAGGAGCAGGCATCTTTTAATTTCATGGCTGCAGTCACCCTCTGCAGTGATCTTGGATCCCAGGAACGTGAATTCTGTCACTGCTTCCATGACTTCTCCTTCGATTTGCCAAGGAGTGGTGGGGCCAGGTGCCATGATCTTAGTTTTTTTGGTGCTGAGTTTCAAGCCAACTTTTGCTCTTTCCTCTTTCACCCACAGCAAGTGGCTCTTTAGGTCCTCTTTACTTTCTGCCATTAGAGTGGTATCATCTGCATATCTGAGGCTGTTGATATTTTTCCCGGCAATCTTAATTTTGACTTGTGATTCATCTAGGCTGGCATTTTGCATGATGTACTCTGCATATAAATTAAATAAGCAGGGTGACAGTATACATCCTTGTTGTACTCCGTTTCCTATGCTAAACCAATCAGTTGTTCCATATCCAGTTCTCTCGCTTCTTGACCCTTATATTCATTCATTATATTCATCAAGGTATAATGCCATAAGTCCACCTTCGAAAACACCCACTTTCTCCAGGGGAACTGATCTCTGTAGTCTGGAGATCAGTTGTAATTCTGGAACATCTCTGGGCCCTACCCGGTTGTTGGCAAACCTATATAAGTGTGTAGCTTGGCACAAGCCAAAGGGAGGATGGCCTAGTGAGGAATGCTATGAATGTAATCTACCTTGATTTCAGATATGTATTTGACAAAGATTCCCTCAATAGTTTTGTCAGCGAATTGGTTAAATGTGGGCTAGATGACAGTACTGTCAGGTGAATTCACAGCTGGTTGGAGGTTGATAAATATTCTTTGACTATAGATAATTAATGGTCCTTCATTAGTCTAGGAAGGCCTTGACTGGGGTGCTCAGAACTTTTCAACATTTTGATCAATAACATGGAAGAAGATCTTCAGGGTGGGGGCATGGCATTATCTGTACCATGATGTCACTTTGGGAAAAACCTGGAAGAGACATCAGGTTGTTCTAGGAATTGCTGGAAACTCTATGCTAAAACTGTGGACTTTCTGGCAATTCTTAGAGCTTCTAGGCTTTCCATAGAAGTCACATTGTGGCACAGATGCCAGTAATGTTTTTTTTTAAAAATCCTTCTCCTGCTGTTGCTTAGAGTTGCAGCAGGCAATGAGGGCTGTGGGAGGGAGGCAGCCCTAAAGAAGCAGTAGAGGAAATAGTCAGATTTGCAGATGACTCAAAACTGGGAAGTATAGGCAACAACATACCGGAAAGAAATACTCCCAGCTGGGTTGAAGGTTGGGATGATAGGTTGGAAAGCTGGGCAGAAGTACACATGGAAAAGATCTCTGGATTGCAGTTGATAACAAGCTGAACATGAGTTGGACAAAACCAGACAGGGAGTATCACAGATAGGCAACATCCAAAACCAATATAACTACTGTGAAACTTAACTAAGAAGAAACTATTAAAATGGTTTTTATTATTGATGTAAAAATATTATCAATAAATCCAGTTACTATAATTTATAACTATCTGTGTGGTCCTTAATATATCCTAAATTGTACTATCTTTATAAGCATCACTAAGCATACAAATTATACAAAGCGCAACAAAACATCCAAAATACATTACTCAACATCAATAATATTCAAAATGCAAAGTGCCATAATGCCCATGAAAAAGGATGCTGGATTTTGTCATCGTGAGAAAGAAGCTTATCTGTAAAAGTTCAAATAGGAGGGTCCACAATGCTGTAAAGAACATGAGTTGGTAGCATGATATGGCTGCCAAAAACGATAAGGGAATGGTAGGATGTGATCACAGAAGCACAGTATCCAAGTTACAATAGTTCTACTCAATACTAGTCAGACCTCATCTGGAGTACTATGCCCAGTTCTGGGTGCTGCATGTTAAGACAAATGTAGAGAAGTTAGAATTGTAGGCATTCTAAAGAAAATGTCCTTGAGGAAAGGATGAGGAAAAGAAGAAGAGACACTTTTTATATTCTGCTTTTCTCTACCTTAAGGAGTCTCAAAACAGCTTACAATCGCCGTTCCCTTCTTCTCCCAACAACAGGCACCTGGTGAGGTAGGTGGAGCTGAGAGAGTTTTGAGAGGACTGTGACTGGCCCAAGGTCATCTAGCAGGCTGCGTGTGGAAGAGTGAGGAATCAAACTCAGTTCTCCAGATTAGAGTCT